TAAATACAGCCAAATCAATATGACTAGCTTGACCTGCCCTTGTGGTGGTTGGAGACACAGGCCACAGTCACTGCTTTGGACTCATTCCCCTTCAGAGTGGCTGACATGAGCTACAATGCTAGCCAGAACTCACCAGTACCCTCAATACCTGGTCACCCCCATCCAACTATAATACCTAATTTATTGACCAATTAGACCTTATAGGAATTTCATACTATATTTGATTTTACAAAGGACCAAATCCCAGTTTTAGTGTCACACATAGGAAAAATCATTGACCTTGGGAAGAACCGAGGAAATTCAAATGTCTAGCTAAGGGAGTGTGGGCAAGTTTCTGTTTGGGAATCAGTTTTATCACTGCAAAATGGTGCATAAGCTGTACTTTGCATGATTGCTGAAATAACTTGGCCTATGGCCTTAAGGATTCTTTCCTCTTCATACCTGACTCAGGACTACACGCAAGATGTGCCAGCCATTCCTGCATTATCAAGGGCAGGAATTTCTTCAAAGAGAGATTCATTTCTCACCTGTTTCTGGTCGATTCTAGAGCTGCATGAGTAATGAAAGAGGCAGATACATTTTGAGAAGGTGTTAAGTGTGGGAGACAGGTTGTTGTTTCCCTGAAAAAGTGCTAATTTCAGCAGTGAAGCGAGGTACTGTTGATCCCTTAGCAGTTCAGCTGGCTTGAGTATGGATAATCCAAGGGAAAAATGATTATTTGCAAAAAGCACTGGTTTGCCCAAAAGTTCAGTCATGGAATATAGTGAAGTGTGCTCTACAAACTCTTTCATTACCAGGCACTGGTGGCTCACATCTGTAATCCCAGCTACTCAGGTGGCAGAGATCAGGAGGATTGTGGTCCGATAGTCGTGGGCAAATAGTTCATGAGACCCTATCTCAAAAAAACCCATCACAAAAAAGAGGCTGGTGGAGTGGTTCAAGGTGTACCCCCGAGTTCAAGTTCCAGTAACCCCTCCCCCCTACACAAACCTCATTATTACTTATTGTTGCAGCAATAAGTTAAGGCTACATGCAGACCTGTTAGTGTTTGGTGCCTTCCAGTGTGCCAGTCAATGCACAATGGATGCCAAGATCATCCTGTCAGTGACCAATTTGATGTTTAGCCTGAATGTGAGAGTGTCATATACATTAAATATTTTTATGATGACTTATGCAAAGGAAGAAAATAGTGTTGCATTTATGAAGCAAAATTGTTACTTAAGGAAAGCATTGGAGATGACTGCAGAGCTCTTCTGGTGTAATCCGTATTTACTGGTGGCTCTACTGAGGTTCAGATTAGTTAAAGGGCATTCAAATAAAATTCAGAATATGCACAACTGTGTAGAGAAGTTTGGGGTGATGTTAGCTTCTGGATGTGGATGCCCTGGGGGAGTCATAGATCTGGCACTTTCTGTGTGGATATGGATGGAACACTCAGCTTCATTGTGTTTCAGTGAAACAGGACATATGGATAGAGGGTGCAAATAAAATCTTGGATATTTGGATGCAAAATGGATTGATGTTAGACACATTAAATCATGGGCCCAACCAGGCTCAAGGAGAAGTGTGGTTTACTGGCATTGTGTTTTAAGAATATTGAACTCAAATGCCTTTTGGTGTGGCATTCCTTTTTTTCTTCAACAAGCCCTATGTGCATCAGCCTAATCATCTGATATCTGTTGCCTGCCTGCCTTTTTGTAGACATTGTGAATTGAGAACACCTCTGTATATCCATGACCAGTTTCACATGTGAGTGAAGCAGGTGGTGTTATTTTAGGGGGTTCTGGAAGACACCACCTTCTCTCCCTCTTCTTCTCCTCCCACAATTTCAGCTTGTGCATTTCACTAGAGAAGCAAAAACCTATATTGGAAGAGAGAATTAACACTTTGATTCTTAGCTATGCTTTATAACTTAGGTAGCTAAGTCCAACAGGTTAAAAAATATGAGAACAGTTTTTGGTAAAATAACCTGAGAAACTGGCTATGTATGTCAGAGCATGTGTAGGAGAGGGAAACTCTACCCAGTAGGTAAGGAGGAAAGAAAACAGATATGTGAGCGGGTTCTTTCTGTCTCTAAAATAGGGATAATACCTGCCTCCTATTGTTGGGAAATTAAATGGAATGATTGTGTAACTAAAAGTATTACAAACTCTATGCAACTTATTACCAAGTTTAATTTAGAAAATCTTTCTGTAAATATAGGTCAGAGAGTAGTCCAAAGCCCTACTGATACTTGAGATGGATAAGGGTCCAGTTCTTTCAGTGGGCAATGCCTCTGAATTGCATGGAACATTAACACTTCAAATGGTGCTACTAAGAAATAATTTTAAAATGACAATTTCCAACTGGCATCTCTTTATATGAAAGGAGTTTCTGAACATGATCATTTTCCACTTGGGAGGGATAAAATGGGGCTCCCAATGAAGGCATGGGGGGATGTGTCTGGTCCCCTGAGAGCACAGTCGGATACAATTGTCCTCACCACTTGACAATGGTAAAGTCTTAATAGGCATGCATTTCACTGGTGATTCACATATTCCAGTTCTTTGAGAACTGACTAAAACAGAATCCACAGTGTGTCCAAGAGTGACAATTAAGCAAAATTTCAAAACAGATAGCAAGATTTTGAATATATTTCCATCGCCTATTGAAAAGCCAATGATGTACCAGATTTCTTAGGCCAAACCTATAGAAACATATGTCCATTTTTTAGACAGGCTGAGCTGAGTGAAAAGTTCAACAATTACTGAGATGTTTTAGGTCTAAGAGAGTTTTCTTGGCTCATTCAAACCAGCACGGCTCCTCTTCCTGCCCTCTCCATGTCTCCACCTGTCAACTCCCAGTTTTTCCTCAATATATTTTTGTGTCCATATTTTCTATATACAACTATTTCACATTATGAACATAAGCCTTGGATGATTACCTACATATGAAACATACATAGATGTTCCAAGTGTTGGATGGGTAAAGGACACAGATCCCAAGCTCCTTTTCTTCCACCATGCAGCTCCAGCCAGAGGCAATGCAAGCAATATGTTCATAATCAAGAGAATTAGTTTAGATGCATTAAATCTCGAATCTTGGCTTTGCTTTCAGGGGTCTAAATTATTTGGATGATTGTCTAGATTGGCTGCAGACATATTCAGGTACCAGGCATTTTCCAGGTATCCTTAGACACTAGAGATAACCCAAGTAGCAAATAATTTCATACACAGCCATTTCCTTCTTTACTAATGCTCATCTTTGATTTTGTAGAACACATGCCTCTTCTTGGTTTCTGGATTTTTTTTTGCAGTACTGGGGCTTAATTTCAAGGCCTCGGGTTTACTAGGTGGGCACTCTAACAATGGAGCCACTCTACCAGTCCATTTTTGTTAAGCGTTTCTTTGTTTTTGAGATAAGGGCTTGTGAACTATTTGCTTAGGCTGGCTTCCAACTGTGATCCTCCTGATCTCTGCCCCCTGAGTAGCTAAGATTACAGATGTAAGCCACTGATGCCCAGCACTGGATCATTTGAATGTATCCAGAGCTGATTTTGACAATATATATGGAGAGTCAGATTGGGGAGGAAGAAGAAGGGGATGGAATACAAAAGAAAACAACTCTTGCTTGCAAGGAGTTTACACACATTTTATACTCAGTTGTGGTCTGCTAAAATGAAAAGAATGTTTAAATGGGATGTGACAGCTATTGACTCAGTGGAAGCATTTATATACTTATAAGTCTAAATTTTCAGTTTTTAATTGGCATTCAGTGAATATACTCATAGTGACTTTAACACAAGTAAAGTGGTATTTGGAAAATGAACCTATTTATTTGATTCCTCCTAGAGAATTCATTCCAAGGGGTATATTTTATCCATGGCTATATAATGATTGAATGAGCTAGATCATTTCTAAATCTCTAATGTAACTATTATGTCTGAGGTAGGATGGGAAAGAATGATTTGAGGGGGGTCTACCTTGACCATGTTCTCTGAAGGCCTTTGGCTTATGGGGTCATGGAAAGAAAAGAGGGAAATAGTGCCAAGGAAGAAGGATAATGGGGTGAGAGGAACACTCCTTAGAATGTAAAACCTACTGGGTTGGAGCTTTACTATGGATTTAGAGGACTTCCCCCCATCCCAAACCATTGCAGCTAGGTAAAGGTCATGTCACTAAAGTCGTATCTCAGTCAACCGCACAAATGGAGCTATGCAATAATATGAACATGCAAAAAGGATTTTATTTGAAGTTCACTGTGCTAGTTTTCCCCTTCACCAGATATAGCATTCTACTTATATTTTACTCAAGCCACTCTAAGTACATTCCTACATATTAGCTAAAATCTGTATCTACTGTAGCAGAGGTATGGGTCTGAGGCATGGAGTAGGAGACTGGGAAGGGTCCCTTTTGATTTAACTTCCCCTGCAGACAGATCACATGAAGATATATTAGAGGCAACTGGGCATAATTCATAAGAAAACTCAACTGCTGGATTTATAATATTTCTTTTAAAAGTATGAAGGTGGCAGACCCAACCTCACCAAAAGCACAAATGAAAGCTCTTTTATCCAAACGAGCAGGTGTGTTTGTCCCCAGGTACTGAGACTTTGGGCTGTGCTTTATAATCAACTTGAGTGGTTCTTCTCCAGACACTGAAGTGCTCTGAGGCAGGGCAGTGGAGAACATGGTGGTGGGGAAACCAGACATAGGTTTTGCTGATGGCCAGTTCTTTCCAAAGCACATTTCATGGAATCGGTACTTCAGGGCTGTGGTGTCTTTGACAACCACTTCCCCTCCCCCTCAACACACATACACCCTTGTCTCTTGCATCCTAGTTCTCTGACTTGGGCAAGGGTGGAGGTCTGGTGGTTGACAAACAATAGGAGTTATGCTTATTTAATGCCTCAGGCCACCATGTGTCCACTACCTCAGGTTGACACTACTTGACAGAGATGGGTGGTTTCCATGTGAGCTACTGATAAGATATGCTCCAGAGTAGGTACTGATGAATCTTTTCTATTGGTTGAGGCACTTGACTGAATTTCTTGGGATAAAAACCATTTCCAGCAGGTCACTCGTCTCATCTGGGTGCACAGACAAATCATTTACTTTCTGTATGTCTTCAACACACTGCCCTCGCAATGTCTCCACATGGTATCGTCTCAGAAGCGTAACCAAGACAACTTTCATCATCACCATAGCAATGTACTTTCCTGCACAACCACGAGGCCCAAAGCCAAATGGCTGAAAGTACCTGTAAGGAACCTATGGAAATAATCACACAGTTAGCCATAGTGTAACAGGTAGAGTGATATAATGCAGTCTGTTTGATTCATTCTAAAAAGGAGGTCCATCAGAAATTGACCACACTTCGTGCTTCACTGAGACCATGACTGTTGACTAAAGAAGTCTTTTTCTCACTCAGTGTGATTCACCTCTTGTGACACAGACCAACCTCAGACAGTACCCAGTTTTGCCTTTCAGATAAATGTACTGGGGTAAAGCAATGCAAAATCACCTTATTAGAGGCAATTAGGATATTCAACTAGCTCTGTAGAATAGCCACAGATGAAACACCAGGGCAGATTTTTTTTGTGTGTGATGTCATATAACATGATAAAAAGGGACAAAAGCAAGTAAAAGATGCAGATTCCTGGCCTATCAGTGTCAAGCATCTAACTTTTTGGATTTTAGACAGGGTTTTGCTATGCAGTCCAGCCTGACCTTTGAAGTCACAATCCTCCTGCCTTTCAGCCTCCTGAGTACCAAGATAATAGTCATGCACCACCATACCCAGAAACATTAAATATTTTTAATCATGCAGAAAAGTAGTATCACATCTGTCTGCCTGGTCCACATCTGGATTTATGTGGCCTCTGAATATGACAGATGTTTGATAAATTGTCATTGACCATTTGACTGATTACCTGGCATTCTCCAGATTACCTGTGTAGAAAGAGGATAAATTAAGAGTACTGAGTTAGCACCGTGCTTTGACACTATAAGAAAGTGGAAAATGAAGCCATCAGGGAACTACATGGATAATTCAAGCTTGAAATCAGTGTTGCCCAAAATGTGACACAATGGAGGGAAGAATCTCCAGTATACATCAACATTAGGAAAAGAAAAAGCTCAATCTCTTTTAGCAAGTGAATTCTATTTAGAAGAAGACCTACTGCTAATGGGGTCATTTGATGAACCAAAGGCCAACTATAAAAACGAAATCTTTTGATCTCATTTGATTTCTGCGTAAGACTGAAATGGATTTCCTTTGGAGGCTGATGTTGCCCTGAATCTAGATGATGACAAAGTGATGAGTTTAAACAGCTAGGTAGATTCGCTGGGTTAAACAAAATTTGGCCAAACGAGAGGCCTGGTGTGGCGGCCATTTAGATAGTCTTCAGAGGTGGAAACTTGGCATCTCTGGTTTTGAGGATGAATATGGTATCTGTGTTCCAAGCTATGGGACACATGGGCTCCTGCTCAGGTGGAAGAGAGGAAGGAGTCAAAAGAATGAAATGCATGGTGCAAACACACACAAACAGAGCAGATTTGATAGTTGACATTGTTGAGAGGAGCACATTCTATTTTAAGGAAGGACTCTTACATTCTTCTCAAAATTTTCCAGAGTAAATTCATTGGGCTTGGGGAAATACTCAAGTCTGTGCATTCTTCCAATATTCAGAATAATGTTAGTTCCCTTTTTCACTGGGTAGCCATCAATCACATCGTCTTCCAAGGCTCTGCGCATGACCAAATCCACAGCAGGGTGGTACCGCAGGCTCTCGTAGATGAAGTTTTCCACCACTTTCAATTTTTGTATATCATTCATTTGTATGTCTCTCTCACCTGTGGGAACAGATAAGAAATATAGGAAGGTATGTTAGTTTAGTGTGTGGTGGGCATTAATGCTTCTATTTTTCTCTCCAGAACAATTTGCTCTTGGTCGAAAATATTATGTCTATAATTCTAATGCATATCACTCACCAAGTATATCGTGTTTGATTCATAGAGTGTTTATAAAGTTCAGAAATGAAGCCAATTATTGTAAAACCTTGGGAATTTTGCGGCACAGTTGAGGTTTCTTGGAAAAATCAGAAAACTTGGTAACACTGGCTCTGCATTCCCATATGGCAACAGTGAGCTGAAGGTGATGAGCCCATTGCCCCTTTAGAGGGGGCTGAGCCTCAACAGTTCCATGTAGACCTCGCTCAGCTTTTCTCACACATTCATCTTATCTGCATGGCCTCATAAGTCTTTCGTGTTTCTCCCAACTCTAACTTCTAGGGAACATTTTGTCTCTTGATTTGTGAGCAACCTAACACTACAACCATCCCACAGCAGGGTGCACAGGCTGCTGCATAGTCAAACTGAGACAGTGGATTTCATCTATTTCAACATTTGCTCTCCATTATCTGTGCTGTTGCCTGTCCACATGTCACTGATAATCCCTCCCTCTCTCATCAAGAGCAACTTGTCACAACGGAGTAGCAAGAACTCCCTTATCCTCACCCCAACAAAACAGGTACCCCATATCGGCCCTGGATGGACTAGGAATTGATGTGGAGCCCCAATGCCTCAGCCTGCCATTAGTCAAAGAGACTGGAATATGTGCCAAATGTGGCAAATCTTCAGAGCATCCTCAAATGGGCCACCACTTTGGAAGATGAAAAACCAGCCCAGAAATCTGAGTCAGCCATTTCCCCTCACTATGCCATCTAGAAAGGGATGAGAATGCTAACCAAAAATAGGAGCTCTGTCCTTCATGTTCTGCTCTTTGTCCCCAAAGATCTAATGAGGTATGTATAACTGAAGTGAGGAGGGAGAAGAGAAGATCATGGGGAAGGTGACCAAAGGCATTCACTGGGAAGCAATGACCTCGTCTGTGTACAGAGCACAGGAAGGAGCACAGGCACATGTGCAAAAGGCTCAGCTGCTTCCCCATCTTTTCAGAGATCTGTTGAAGAACCAGGATAACATCAACAACCACAAACACTTTTCACCTCTTGAGAAAATTCTATCAAACTTGTTTTAAAATCTTATGATTACAAAATCAATTTCTCCCCTGTCCGGAACTCCATCCTTCCATGGTGCCCTCTCTTTTCACTCCCTTGATATTTCTCTCACTAGCCTATATGTCCTGCAGGTACATGGAAGGTACTGGCTGGTTCTCTGCCACTGCACTTGGTATCGAACATGGTAATCTGATAGGAGGCGTTTGATAAAACCTTGTGGAATTTGGGGCCCCTATGTTACTCTGGCTCCTTGCTCTCTGCCTTTCCAGGCAGTTTCCCACCTATGAGATGCATCTGAGATCCCTACCTTCACATATTTAACCCTTTGATGAAATGTCTCCCAAGAGACAAGTATTTCAAGTAGCACTCAAATGATTTTGAAAAGCTGAACCCTTCCACAACCAAATAACTTGTTTCACAAGGACTGTGTAAAGTCAAGAGAAAAAAATCTGCATTATGTGATGTAGAATTGTGTTCCTAAGCGTGAAAGAAATTCCAAATATGGACTTTTATGTTCTTCCAGAAAGCAATTCGTTTCCTGTGACAGGGACAGTGTTCCTGTGGAAGAGGTGGGGAAGGATGATGCTGACAAGGAAGCAGAGCAGTGAAAAGGGAGCTGGGGAAGAACTGAGTGAGGACGTGGTGGCTTCTTCAGAGGAGGAGGAAAGGACGGGTGAGAAAAGGCCAGCATCACTGGATTGGAGTGAAGAAGGGAACTCATCATTCCCTTGTGTGCTCTGTTGCCCTCTCCTTCTTCTCTTGCCACCAGCTGGAAGTTCATTTGTGATTGGGCTTCAGGTGACCCAGACACACTGCCTAAATGACAGCCATTTTCCTGGATATGTAACGGAGGAGGTAGCAGAACACTGCACGTGTACCCATGCTCTCGTAAGACTGACACAGTAGCCATATGCGTGTGTTCATGTACACGTAGAAAAGGATCTTGAAGAATACACAGCAAACAATTAACAGTGGTTGCCTCTCCAGTGGGGCTGGAGAGGAGGTGTAGAGCGAGGATTGGGAATCATCTTCCCCTTTATACATCTCTCTGTTAGTTGAATTTTCCAATGAGCAAGTATTATTTTTATAACTTAAGCAACTCAGAAAGAACTATCTTTTCAATCTATGTGGCATAGTCAAAGTGCCTGAACTACTTGCTTCATTTTTCTCCAAGTGGAGTATAAAAGATTCTGTGTTTGACATCAGATTCTTATTACATGAGAAGCTGGCATTCAGAAGGAATTATTTATTTAAGTTCTATTGTTTATTTGATCAATTCTTACCAACAACAGTCTGGATTTCCTTCATTATTTCTTCCTCAACATTAGGGTGCTTTGCAATGAGAGAGAGCATGAAGTACACTGTGACAGACATGGTGTCAGGGGCCGCTATCAGCATTTCCAATATACATTGGTTCACGTTCTCTTTTGTTAGTTCTCCACGTTTCTGAACAATTTGAAACAGGAAAAGTGAATCAAAGTTCCAAAAAACATGAAGACAGTTGATATTCAAGGATGGGCAACCTCAACAAAATGAATCACAAGTCTATAATTTTTTTGAACATTTTACATGACAATCTTCAGCTCAAAGGTGAACAGTTTCATCAACATCTATGCACAGTTGGCTCTCCATGTCCTCAGGGTTCCCATCCATGGAGTCAATTAACTGGATATATATATATCCACACACATATGTATACATATATTTATACATTAAATATAATTGTATACATATTGAACATATACAGACTGTTTTCCTTGTGAGTATTCCCTACACAGTACAGTATAACAACTATTTCTGCAGTATCTATATTGTGTTAGATGTTATGAAGAATCTCAGGGTGATTTAAAGTACCCAGAAGGATATACATAGGTTATGTGCAAACGCTGTCATTTTACATAAGGAATTTCAGCACCCTGAATTTTGGTATCTGGGTGGGGTTCGGGAACCAAACACAGATGGATATGGAGGGATGACTTTATATAGTGTCTTTGGTCACACGCTTCCTTTTTCACATTTTGTACTACAATACAGAACACGTTCAATCTAAAGGTCAATCGTACTAGAATGTCTAACGTGAGGCTCTCTGAATGACCTATAATATGACTGCTAGGCAAAATACTGAAAGGAAGAAGTATGCAACAGTTATGATAAAGGGTCCTTTCCCACCTACACACAAACAGTCATAATGTATGTTGAGTGTGGAATTATGGTTAGTCTAGGTCAGTACCTCAGCAAAAATCAAGTCAGTGGCAAAGTCCATACAGTCTTCCAGTTTCTCTGCCATGGAAACCTGGTGTCTTTTTTCTTCTACCAAAACATCTATGGCATCTTTCAAATCCTTGCTGTAAAAACAGTCAAAATGTAATCTACTTGTACTCATTAGCAAAACATTCATTTGCTGTTTGTTTAAACAAAATGACCTGCTTTAATTGAAGCCATTGATGGTTCTCAAAAGTACATGAATTTATATTTTACTTCTTCACAAATATCCTTAAATTTCACCTAATTATATTTCATGTTGAGGTACAAGACTTAGCTACAATTCCCAGACACTGATAGCAAAATCAAAGCTGTGACTTTATAGTAAAGGATTAAAAATGATACCAAAGCCTAAATCCATGTTTACAACTCCTGTTTTGGAAGGCACAGTGTTTCAGTTAACAACCCTGTAGTTGCCTACTGCGTATGCACTCTTCAGTGTGCCACAAGGGCCTCCATTTCATATTTTCTTATACACACAGCCCAGTTTTATTTGCCTGGCCCTGAAGACTATTGAGTTTGAGATTCCTGTTCTAGACAGTAAATTCAAGTGACTAAATAGCATTCTCCATACTTATTCCCATATCTTGTGATTTCAACCAGTCTGTAAACACCAGGTAAAGATTTTTGAATAGATGGTGACAAGCTGCATAAGTATGTGCATACATTTGACACTGTGGTTAAGGAAAAGCCTCTTGGACAAATGGTGACATTCCAGCCCAGGTGGTTCTCTTCAGTGTAACCTAGAACCTGTGGAACCTATTAACTTTATGTCACTGAGGCTTGCATCTCTTTTTGTACTGAGAAGATCAGTCTAGACAATAATTAAGGTCACACTGAGATCTACATTCTATTATTCTTGTATGGTCATTAAGTTAAAATATCACACATTTTGTTATATTCATTGTATTCATTCTGAAAAGATTCTTTTGGGAGAACTATCAGTTCTTTGAGTTGATGTTAAATTCGCTGAGAAGCAACACAGCTATAAAATGATTCTGTTTCCATTTTTCTAGACATGCAAAGAGAGTTCTAACAGGTATGAATGTTCGGATTAACCAACCCTTCTGTTCAATTCAAAATTATTGAATGTCCTTGTTAGAGATTGGCTCTCAAGCCACATATAGCCCCTAACTGAGAAGCTGCCCAGTCAAAGGGTTCTTTTATTCTTTGGTCTTGCCAGAAACAGTCAATCTGCTGTAAATGTTTTCATAAGCAACTTAATCAACAGATCTCCGGGACTCTGGAGAGAAGAAAACTTATCAAAGAGACCAAGAAAGGCAAAAAGTCTCAAACAAGATTGTGATTGCACTCACAAATCTTCCAAGTATGTGCTACTTACACAGACTTTTCATACTTTTTGTACAGCCAAGAAATCTTAAAGAAGATGTTGGGTTTTAGAAGGAGAGCTTGCCATGCATCAAAATAACCTCGGATTTTATTCACAATGGCACTTTCTGGAAAACAAAAATGATAGGTGAAGTTTTTACCTTCAGGGAGCTTACACTGCACTGGGAATTATGGACACAAAACAACTGAATATCAGGTAATATCTTAGGCAATAGTGTCTTAATGTAAAATCAAAGCAGGGCAAGGGGACAGAAGGGAGAAGCAATGGGAGTAGGCACAGCCACTGTGGAGCGGGTGGGCAGGAGAGGCCTCTGTGGAGAGCACATTGAGGTCCATTTGGGCCTAAATGAAGTGAAGCCATGAGCAACACATGGATCTGAAGGCAGAACAATACTTGTAAGGGGCCTACCCAAACCAACGGGACTGGAGCACATGCTGACTGATTTCCACATTTGGACCACTGGACAACTTATAAGCCCCCTCATTCTCCTCCCCAGCTCCCATCGCCTCCCTACTCTAACAGGTCTTTAGAAGACTTGTAGAAACATCTGTTTATAGATGTTCTTGCTTCCTCACCTGTATGGTTAGGAAGGATCATATCCATGGAATTGTCACTCTCTCTCTCTATGTGTGGATCCAGAAGTGATGACACTGAGCTTGTGTAACTCATATGGGGTTGTTTATTTCCCTTTACACTGGGTACTTGTCAGACTCAACTTGCTTACGACACCCAGTGCAACAAAGAAGAAAGACATTGCCCTGAGATCAGGCAAAACCAGGCTCCGGTTGGTATTAGTCAGGTGTATTAATTTCTATGAATTGCAGTTTCTTTATCTGCAGAATGATGGCACTACCACTCCCCAGGCTAGTCAGTAACGATGAAATACAAAATCTTTGTATAGCACCTGGCATGGTGGCTGGATTTGGCAGTTGAAATAAATGCTTATTCCCGTCTCATTTGTGCAAAAGGCCAGGGATTTCTTATCTCTAGTATTCAATTAAAATAAAGGAGATTCATTTATTACTGATTTTGCTTAAGGCTCAGACATTGAAGAAACTAATATGAACTGTATGCTCTGGATCAAATATTTTAAAAGTATGAAAGCTATGTGATGAGTTCTATGGTCCTGGGAGTCTTATGAGTCCTGTGTGCTCACTATGAAGTGAGAATATAAAGAAGAGCGGTTAACTGGGTTTATAAGCCAATAGGCTGTCCTCTTAATGGCTCTGTCACTCAATACCAAGTAGGGATAAAATGTGACTGTTAGCTTTCCAACAGGCTAGGCTTTTTGCTCTCGGAGTTACGGAAGTCAAGGCCCTAACAGCCATCACTACTGGTCCGCTTGTCCAGGAGAGAGCTGGGGGCTCAGGGAAAAAGGAATATGTGAGACTTTAGGCTGTGTCTCAAACAGAAACTTGAAAGTGGCAACTCTTTGTCTAACTCATCCAATCAGATATAAGGCAAAAAATTATCAGTACTCAACTTGCTGAGTAGTGTTCATGTGGCTAAATCACCCACTGGTGATGACACATTGCTCAGATAGGATCTCCAGACTGGGAGGAGAATGTACAGGGAATATTCTCTGCTCATAGCCCTCTTCTTAGGCCCACATTTGCTCAATAGCTTTGTTCTTGTTCAAGGGCTCCCTGAACCTAGAACAGTGCCCAGCATAAAATAGACAATCAGTGATATTTATTGAATGAATGTATGAAATCAATGAGTGTTCTCATAAATTAACTCAGGAAAATCATAATAAGCTGGATATATTTAAGATCAACAGCAAGAAGGAATCAATCCAAATTATTATTTTGCTTATTGGTGGTGGTAGAGGTGTGTGCATACATTTTGTTATTCATTTCTGTAACATAAGAGGGTGAGACACCCTGTCAGTTTGTTTTAAATATTAAACGGCAAATATGTGTGTAAAGCAACTTTCATACTGTTTGGCACATAGTAGACATTAAATTAATGGCAACTGTTACCATCATTTCTGTTTTCATCACCAGCAATCCCATTACCACCACTGTACCACTTTTATCATACAGATAGAAGCAAGTTTTCAAATTCAGTAACTCTGAGGGAAGAGTGTGTGTGCATCTACATATATGTGTATATGTGTGTTATGTGTATACATATCTACATCCATATTCATGTCCAGATCTATGTCTATATTTATGTATTAGACATATATTTATATACATACATTTATATTTATAAATATAAATATGTATAATATACATATATTCATATATGATATATAATCTATATAAATATATTAATATATAGTATATAAATATATACATATACATATAAAATGCCAAAAGGATGGTTAGAAATGCTTAAACATGTCGGTTCCATTGGTGGCAGGATATCATAAACATCAAATGCATGATGATAACTTTTGATTGGGGTAGAATCCTATTTCCTAAAGCAAGAGGAGAGATACAAAAGAAATAGAAAGCGCCCCCTATTTGAAAGTGAACAGGGCAGAAACACTAGAGAGCAAACTCAGCAATGCATAAGCAAGAGCAATGTGCGAAGCAGCCTGTGTTTGCTTTACTCTGCTGTCCCTCTCCTCCCCTCGTTCCACACAGGGCCGAATATGAGGCACAGGAAGAGTTTCCTCACCATCCAAGGGGATTCCCAAGAAGAGCACGTTGGAGGTGTCCAGCATGATGCGTCGCATGAGGGTCAGCACGTCCACATAGCCCAGGGCATTGGTGACCTCGTCCAGCTTGTCCAGATGCCTGAGGATGGATTCCGCACAAACCGCCACCATGCGAACAAGGCCAGGGCCCGTCAAAGCTGAAGGGACACATCAGAGAATCAGCCATCACACTCCAGGATACTCACTCAGGTTATTTTGGCTTTTAGGTCTGGAACTTAACTGTCCATGGTTTGCCTTCAGTCATAGGGTGGAAATTTTCATATTCCTCTTTACACTTTTCTGCTTTCTACAAGCATGCACTTACTTTATGTTTGAAAATGAATGAATATTATTTTAAACTATTGAAATGTAAACTTTCCTTCATGCTCTGGGAAATCATTTGTGACACTGCAAGTGAAACATTTAGTATTTGTGGTCATAGTTACAAATCAGCGAGTTTTCATGTGTACTATCTGCATTTCCCTTTAAAGATGGTTTGGATTTGGCCAGGGTTGAATTTATTGTGTGTTTCAGCAGGTGGTAGGATATTGCTAGAGATAGTGAAATTGGCACCTGAGATGCTTCCTGTTTAACTGAAGTTTATAGTTGTAATATGCTAGTTTTACAAATCACCCAAAGTGCCCTTCTCTTCATTTCAATCTCTTTTCAAATTGCTTCCAGATTTATGTGATTATTTATTGTGGTAATGGGGCTTGACCTCAGAGCCTCATGCATGCTAAGCAAGCTCTAGCCTTGCCCCTACTCCTACTTCTAGATTTATTTTACTCAACCTGTGACATGCTAAGAAATTTCTTATTTGCTTTCAGTGTTCCCCACAGAACTGGGAACTCTTTAAGGACAGACAACAAGTTATTGGGATTGTACTTCAGGTCAGTAGTACATGGGACCTCTGTATACATATTTGTATCTAGGATTAAATAAATGAATGTAAACAGGTAGAGGGAACTGGCTCTGACCTCCCCTTGCTCTGCACTTGACCATCTGGGCAGAGACTAGTGGGTCCTGATGGTCCATTTTAAGAGTTTAACTCTTAAAGACCCCCTTTCCCTCTTTGGTAATAAGTTTATTTAAGCTTCCTTTAAGAATTATCCCTCTTTTTATATTTTGTACTATCGACAATTGTTTTTAGAATCCTTGAAATGAGATGGAAATCCTGCGGAACTTGGTAGACATAACTTCAGTGGACCACCATAACTCAAGAAGAAAACTAATCAGTGAAGAATCCCATGCATGAAGGCAGACATCACAAAAAAGAAAGGAGTCCTGAACACTGGTTTAGACCATGGAGAGCTCCATATGCATAAAAAACAAGGTAGGGGTAGGAAGGACCCAGCAGACACCAAAGGCCAGGATGTCGTTCTCTGGTGCTGATCATTTCCATGACTGGGGCAAGTCATTCCTTACTGACTCAACTGTTTGTGTGGACAGGTTGGCTTCCAATATCAGTGGTGGGTTCTTCCTAGTTAATGTGTGACCTGCCTCTGTGACCAAGTGCTTGAAGCCACATTTCACACTTACAGACAAAATATGATATAACTCATTGCTTGTGATACAAATATGATTTAATTTTTAAATGTGCTGAAAAGTACTCAGTCTATTTAGGTCAAAAGCAAATTGAGCACATAATCAGATTCCATCAACATAGACAACTGTCAGTTACAGGAAACAAGTATTATTTACGCACCTCAAACCATCTCCCAGGATGAGCCATTGCCTAAGTGGTGTTTAACTGTTTCTGTACAGAAACCTAAAATTTTAATACTTTCATTCATACTGCTGATTAGATAACAAAATCTGTCCCAAACTTTCTACTGTAACAGGAAAATCAACAATGAATCTAATTCAATAGAAGGTTCCTCAAGAAAGGCTTAGGATTCTCATTGGTTATCAACATTTTAGGCACCACAGAGAGCTTCTCAATAAGCAATTAGCTTCCTATTTGGGGCATTATTTGGGTCCAGTTCTGTAGCATTTTCATTAGAAAATATGACCTTGAATATCAAATGATAACCTAAAAATTCACAAAGATACCTTGACTAATTTCTAAGTGCTGTAACTTCTACTCTTAACATTCCATGGACCTGTGTCCTCCCCTCCATCCACCTGTGTCACTGCAGTGGCTCCTGTTTTTACTTCCCACCTTGCTCAGTCACTGCATCACCTGATTTTCAAGGGCAGGGACCATTCCTATTTGACATTGTAAGCTTAACACCTAGCTCAATGATGAAGACAGTAACTTGTTCACAAATTGTTTAGCGATTATAACTCTTAAATGTCAGAGTAGAACATATAGAAAGAATAGGTCTTCCATCTTTTTATTTGTTTATTTGTTGGTTGGTGCTGGAGATTGAAACCAGGGCCTTGTGTGAGCTAGGTAAATCCTCCACCACTAAACATCCCCAGCCCAGGTCAGAGGATATTGGTATGTGAAAGTTAACTACTCCTACATACCAAAATACCTGTTGACATGTTCCTAACAAACCTAGGTCAAATGACATAGTAAAATGATCTATGGGATCCTAGATCATTTTTTCATTTGTTCTTCACTGTAACTCCATAATGTTGATCAACTTCTGTTGATAAAAGAGCTGAAGTGTCAAGACGCTAAGTGACCTGTCCATGGTCCTACAGCTACTTAGTGGCAGCACTGGGATTTGAACCTGCATCCTGTAACTTTAAGCCCTGTACTTTGTTCATTAATCCATTCTACAGTTTTAGAGAGCACAAGGAGATTGACCTGCCCCAACATGAGTGGTAGGCATAAAAATTGCTCTTCAACGTTGTGGACGTCCTAATCCCCAAAACTCATCACTATGTTGCATGGCAAAAAGAAGTTGGCAGGTATGGTTCAAGTGAAGGACATGGAGAGGAGGAAATTATTGTGGATTTTCATGGTGGATCCAAACTTTCAAGGAAAGTGAAAAAGTATTCCCAGCTGTAGTCAAAATCAGGGAAAGACGTGATGACAGAAGGTGTGTCAGAGGATGTGAGGTGAAAAGGCACGGACTCCTGCCATGAGCCAAGGAATGATGGTGGCCTTAGAACCTGGAAAGGCAAGGACAAATGTTCTCCCATAGAGCCTCTGGAGGCAGCCTTGTCAACACCTGCATGGTGGCCCATTGAGACCTGTGTCAGACTTTTGAGGGGCTGGTGCAGTGACTCCTGTGATAGAACACTTGCCCGAGTTGGCTACTGAGGTTGTATAGTGTTAGACCAAAAGCTCACCTACCTCCAGACGCCATCACTGCCCAGGCACAATTACCTCTCTTCATGTGCATTTCTCAGTAGCTTTGCTTTGGCATGACATAGCACGGGGGGACCCTCTGGATAAGGAGATCCAGAATTGGGTCTCTGCTCATTCATTATCTGCTCTGCCATTTGGGTAAAAATTACAGCCTCTCTAGGACTGATTTCCTCAACTCTAAAACTCAGAGCCAGGAAGAGGTAATATATATGATCCATCTCTATCCTAAAATTCTCTAATTTCATTCATAAATTGTTTTCTTCTAAAATATCTGGTGATTATTGTAAGTGTATCATTTGGTCATGCTTAAGTCAAACATATCCCCGACACATGAAATTCATAGTTGAGATGATGCTTAGTAGACAGGTACATCTCTTTCTCATGTTCATGAAATTGTTTCATGAATCAACAATGAGAGAAGGATGTGTGGTGGCTACAAATATAGGCTCTGGGCTTGTGTCCTGGAACTACCACTTACTAATGTTGGAACCTGGGGCACGTTACTTGACCTCTTTATCTCTTTAAAATGCAGGTGATAAGCGTATTCACCACATGAAGTTGCTTTGGGATTAAAATATCAAGTGTTTAGAACGATGTCTGATGTACAGGAAAGGTATAAAAAATGCTAGTTCTTATCATTATTTCAAAACTATGAAACTGTAAATCAGCACATTTAAAATATGGTTTCCATAGACCACAGAGAAGAATATAGCCAGGTTCCAGCTTACCTTTCATAAAGAAAGGCCGAACTTCTTTCCAGACGTCTGGATTATTGTTAAATATGATGCCTTTCTCATGCATACCAATACACTGCAAGCCAAGTTTGCTGCCAAATCGGGAGATGTACTTATTGTGCTTCATTACATGGAACATACTTGAGGACCTGAAAAGAAAGCACACCTTAGTGTTAATCCACCATTGAGAAAGTCACAGTGATGCATTTGAGTGTGAGATGGCTCTCAGCAAATGATGTTGATCAAAATGCATGGTTTCTATTATTCAGGTTGAATAAGCACATCTGTTAGCAGGAGAACATCTTTTACAACTGACTCATTTCTACCTACTGATTCCTTGTTTGACCATCACAAGGATAGAAAACACACATCATTCCTATTTCTCTTTCTTCACTAAGCTCAGGTCACCAATATATTATCTACCATTAGAGTCAGAGGTCCAAGAATGCCATAAAACACATTCTTCCACACCAGCAGTCATGAGAGCCCAGCATCCCAGGTGCCATCTAGCCCTTCCCAGACAGTGCCACTGTGTGCAAGAGTAAGTCACAGAATTGGAATCTGCTGGACTATTGAAGTCTTGCTTTGTTAGTTTGGAACCAGTATTTTCTTTGTAGTACCACCCATCCCCCAGGCCTTATGTGGGATGTCATTAACTCATTTCTGTGCACACTTTTGTTTCTGGGCTTGACCAGGGCCTACATGGGCTGGCATGGAAGGCCCATTGTGGTGGTAAGAGAAATTATTTCTGGTCTCAGCATTCATCATGACTTCTCAAGGTCTCCAGGGTCACAGAGTTCTCCCATGATGCATGATATGGACAGCCATTAGACAGTGTAATTTGTACTATGCTCATTAGGACAAATTCAAGATGTGTAAAATGGTATTGGCACTTATTATCTTTATTTCAGTTGATGTGATGTTTTAATTTTGATGAACTTAGTATTTGTACAAATTTTGGTGTATTCACTGCCACTTTGTTTCTCCCTCCTCAATTCTCCACTGAAAATTGTTTTTAATCTGGAAATTCTCCTAATATGGAGGCTTTCTGAACACATAACCCTCAAAGTTGGGAGTGGCTGGTTACTGTGGTGCATGCAACTGATTCTTGAACTGTGTTGGAGAGGCTTTCTTAACACTTGCTCCTCACTCTCAAAGTTGACACTTGGCTCTTAGAGGATGGCTTTGCTTATTGAAGTTGTTGAGTTAATGTTTGCCAAAATACAGTCCCATAAGACACTGGGAAAAAGTGCTTGGCTTTAGATGAATAGGTTAGACTGTGGGCTCCACGATAGACAAGCTCTCACACTGTGGTGTGATGCAGAGTCCTATTTAACCTTTGAAAGAAAGCCTATGAAGGAGGAGCAGTGTTAAGAAAGGAAGGAAAACAGGTTATTATTATATAAATAACTTATTTACTTAATATTTATTTCAGAAAACCCTACTTTAAATATCAAAACACTATTAAATCAAATATTGTCATGATTTGACTCCAGATAATACTCATAAAATGACCCCATGTTTGGGCAAGTTTTCCACTTCTTAACAACAAAAATAAACCCTAAACTTCAGGTGTTTATATTTGTATTCCAGAAAATTAGTTTGACTGACATCTGTTCAAATTTTGCCCTATGTAGAGAAATCATGCTATAGGTAGGTCTGAAATTCTTACTAATTAAAATACTTGAAAACCCTAACTTTTCTTACCTTCCAATACATCATTCTACAATAAAAGAAGAAAGTAAGTAATTTTTATATTCTTTATTCACAAAGTTGTATCTGAAATTTTTAAATACTCAGAGGATAAGCAGAACACTATGTTTCTGCATTGTCTTCTATAGCCATTGTAGTCTGCATTAGTCTACTGACCTGCTTCTTTGCAGAAGTTGCTAATCAATTTTTAAAAGAGAAGAAACTCCAAACAAACAAACAAAAACAACCAAAAACCAAAACCTACTTAAATGTTAGTTAATGTTAAATATCCATGTGTCCTTTAGGGGGCACTAATAGGTCAGTTATTTTCAGGATGAGATTCAGACAATGCAAGTGACAAAAATTATGAGGCAGAAAAATGTGACTGGCCACAGAAGAGCAATTGCAAACATGGCCATTTATCAAAGTGACACTGGATTTATCTAAGCAGAGTAAACTGGGAAATTGAAGAAGAGAATGTTGGGGAAGAGCTACAGGCCCCAGCTCACACTGCTCCTGGCAATCAGACAGACCAAGTGGGCCCTACAGCCAAGCTGGCCAATGGAAATGTCCTGCTGTGGAGGAAATAGGATTTCTGGGCACTGAGGAGACACCAACTGAGTCCCCAGGGTCAGAAGGGACAGTGGGCAGTACAAAGTATCTGGTCACTGGGGTCATTCTTTCTTGAACATGAAAAGTCAAGACATCTCCAAAGAGGGTAAGCAATCCTATTGTCTGTTCAAAATGAAACATAAGCAAGAAGTAAGCTCTTAGGAGGTAAAGAAGAAGTGCCTAAGTTTGGAGTTTAAGCAACTCACACAACTGTGGTCAGAGTTGACATCCAAAAGAGCGGGAATGTGGTGGAGGCACTTAATGAAAGAGTTGACAACAAATATTTAAAAACACTTGCCGATGTGTAGAGCTGTCCCTTCTCAGTCTCCTTTGCTAGTTTCTAACCAGTTGACATTGGAAGAGCTCAAGGCTCAGTTCCCACTATTCATCATACCACCCAAGTGGTAACTGACAGTACTGGTTTGCTCAGACTTGTCCCAGTTTTAGCACTGAAAACCCCACATCCTAGAAAAAAACTCTAGTCTCAGACCAGCAGACAACTGGTCATCCTTCGGATAAATACACTGTATAATGTTTCAGTCAATGACTGCCTACATATATGACTGTGGTCACATAAAATGCTATCACCTCGTGACATCATAGCCGTCTCAGTCTGAGTACACACTATGATGTGTGCACAGTGACAGAATCACCTAGCAATGCATTTCTTAGAACCTATCCCCATTGGTAAGTGGTGTATGTCTGTACTATGTATTCTACTTCTTTATTGTCAGTATCCTAACAATACCTTGCTCCATGAAGGTCAGATTTTTTGGCTGATTTTATTTCAAAAATACAATATCACTGTGTTCTGAGAGTCTAGAATTGTACCTGGGGTTCATAGTAAGTTCTCAATAAATGTTTAATGAATGAATGGAGAGCCAATTATGACTATTAACACTTAGGATCACATAGTGCTTAGTCTATAAAAAATTTTCAAATACATTGAAGGAATAGCTGAATAAGAAAATTTACTTAATAGAAGTGTAAATGTAACATTGAGTATATTAATTGCTAAGAAATGTGCAAGTATAACTCTCATTAGCATGTGGACTGCTAGCTCCCTTGGTTTTAATTTTTTTTGGTGGTACTGGGGATAGAACTCAGGACTTACACATTAGTGAGCAGATGCTCTACCCTTGAGCAATGCCTCCAGCAGTTTTTCCCTTGGTTATTTTGGAGACAGAGTCTCACTTTTTTCCCAGGCCAGCCTGAACCCTTATCCACCTATTTTGAACTTCCTGCTGGGATGATAGGCATGCCACACCGTGCCCAGGTATTGGGTGAGGTGGGATCTTGCTCACTATTGTTACCGGTTGGCCTCAAACCTGGATCCTCCCTTTCTAACCCTCCCATGTAGCTAGGATTACAGAGTGAGCCACAGAGCCCTGGCTTGCTAATTTCCCTTTAAGGATGTTACCCAAATTCTTTCTTCTTCTTCTTTCTTTCTTTTTTTTTTCTCGTATTTCTGACAAAAACAAATGTGTATGTAGATAGTGGACATATAGTGTCCTCTATCTGAGACCCTCAGGTAGAGATTAGCTGCCTGGGGGAGTGTGCATTCTTTATCTTTAGATGACCAGAGGGACAACAGTACCTTGAAGCTTCCATGTTGCCCAGGTGGTGGCCAGCTGCACTCCTGCCTGACTTCCTTCCCTCAACTTGTACAGTCCCTACCACTGTGGGACTGAGTTGGTTAGAAAAGTTGGACTGTTATCTTGCACAGTTATAATGACTACAGATCTTGAACTTTTCCAAAGAAAAAGAAATCTGGCAAACTATTCAAATCAAAATAAAAAGCTCTCTAAGGTCCAATGGGGCCTTCTCAAGAGGTACGGGTAGTGCTGGAAGGGACATGAAGAGCAGCGAGGAAGGGAACTGGGGACAAACATGTCCTGTTTCTGAGGGAAGCTCAGCCTTTAACAACAAAATGGAGCAGCTCTGAGGCAATTAAGGAGAACACAAAACTCCACCAAGTGAAAGGCTGAGAGGACAGGACAAGAAAAGAACTGGACGAGCTGGGGGATGGTGGGCAGGTTGTGTCCATGCCTTTGTGTGAATCAATGCCTGAGCTGGTCGCAGGTGCTAAGGTCACTTTCCTAATGAAGACAGGCAGAGTGGTCAGATGCCACCCTGACTATGACAGTAATCCCACTTCAGGAATTGTCTTTGAGTATTCAGGGAATCTATCTGGTGACCAGAGTATCTCATGTCTAAGTATCTCTGGTCCAGGAGGGATTTCTGCCTGATATTCTGCTCTTAAATCCTGGCAGCTTAAACAACCACAGAGGTCTGTGCCTTATGCACAGACTCTGATCTCAAAGCCCAGACACATGGGCTTTTGGGTGACTCTAATATATACCCAGGGTGGGAACTGCTGCTCTAGGTCCTGGGCTGCAGGTAGATATCCTGTATGCTGAAGCTAGTTAGCTTCACCTGTTTGCCAAGGGAAACAGGTGACAGGGAAGGCAGACCCTGAATTGAGTAGGGCTGGAAGGCCCTTGCTGTGCTCAGGGATGAAAAAGCAGGAGTAAAAGTTCCTATCCTCCAAACCCAAATGTCATCAGATTCAAGACATTTTTGAGATTGTAGCCAGGTGTAAAAGTGACTAACATAAAAAAACACATCATATTCACTTAAATTTGCCTGAACCAGGGCTCAATTAGACCAGGACAAGTAAACAAAAGAGGAATTGTGACACAGTCATTAAAGCAAACTCTAGTGTGCCTTGGAGTCACCTGGAGAGTACCTCAAAGCAGACAATGGGCTTCAACCCCCAGCCTTTCTTATTCAGTAGCTGTGGGCGTGGCCAAGAAGTCCTTTTCTAACAAGTTCCTGGGTTGTTGATGTGGCTGGTTAAGGGAACACACTGTCACAACACCTGCATTGATTCAGTGCTACAATACCAACCTGAATGAACCAGAAACACCCTAGGCACAAATTGAGGTGTTACATCCAAAATAATATTGTGGGATAGTTTGCAATATTTAAATGTAGGACCTATTTTTTTCCTCTGCTTCCTTCTTTCAGTATTTGATTTAAGGATTGGGTTTTGAGGATACCATGGTAATAGATGAAAAGATGGATGTAATCTTGGCCTATGCCCAATTTCATGCAGTTTCCAGAAATGCTTTTCTTATTCTTTGAGCAATAATCAATGAAGAATTCTAACAAATCAACAAACACCTTGGTGGGCCTCAAATTGTAGGGAAAGCTCTGTCAGAGATTGTAAATATAAAAACATTTCAGTGAGACAGTGTTGGCAGATAGCTTTACTAAAAGCCTAGTAAAAGTGTCTGAACATCTACAGAATTATGCTCTCTAAGATCAATAGACAAGAAAACTAGGAAAGCAAGAAAACAAAGCTCATTCTTCACAGTCTATGCACCTTGGTTAACTCTGGAGTAAATGCAGTCTACTAAAGCAATCCAGAGAATATGGCAGTGATGGGGTGGTGGTGGGTAGCAAAAACAACTTTTTATTGGGCAGTTGTTACTGGGTTAAGAGAGCTCAGCCAGGACCCTGGCATGCCAACTTAGATAGGAGGGCAGCGCCTGAATGGCTTTTTTTCTGCTGTCTGCTGTTTTAGTGGTGCTCAAAAGCCAGGCATTAGAATGATACTAGTGAACTCCTAGTCAGATGCCTTTGTCTTCTGGTTTTGTTTGTGTTTTGTTTTAGAATGAGTGTTTTAATGCTTGATTACAGAGATAAGACCAAAATCTCAGGAGAGCAGAAAAGACCACACTTTTCCCCAATTGTGTTTTTATCCAAAACAAATCACATGGATTCTAAGATTCCACATTCACCACTCAGTTGAAGATTTACCAACTTTCCAGAGTTCTTTATCTATGTGCCTCTGGCTTTAATGCAAGGAAAACACAATTTTTCTGTCTGTCTGCAGTGTTAGATTTTTACCTTGGAATTGCTGACCTTCATTTCAACAAGAAAAACATAACCTTACAAAGATGTCAAACTAAGTTTTCTTTATAAAATAAGAACCCCCAGTCTAGATTTCAAAAGCATGACTCTGATGATGACTTTGATGGTGACAGCATTGGGAGTATACCCAGGGACCTCACACTCCCTAGGTGAGCCTTCTGCCTCTGAGCCACGCCCCAGGCCCTCGGACTTTGACTGGCCCCACTCACTTGCTGATGATGAGGGTTTCCTCTCCACTTATCCAGACTCTCATGAACTCTCCGTACATCTTGTTATAGTAGTTGCAGGCACTGCCGATCCCCATCCACAGGAATCTACCATGGGAAATGAGGGGTCCAATTCCCAGACAGTAGGCAGGACCTAGCACAAGTCATCAGGACATGGTCAGTACTGTAACGATACCAAGAACACTTGTTTTTTAGTTAAGTGTTCCTCACATCTTCTGATGTCTGTCTGCACACCGTTAACACAGTGGTTTGAAACAGAGCAAGTTGCAAATGAGATTCTTGACACACACCCCTCCAGAGGGAAAAGTACATTGATATCCAATTTACACAAGTTGGTCTCACTTATCTCAGTCTCAATGACCTAGGGGCTCTGTCCTCACCTTCCAAGTCAAACCGCGTCATGAGTTTCAAACATAAGTCAGTTGATCTGTCTGCTAGCAAGTGTGGAAATCACAAGAGGTGACAAGCTGACAGAATTGCTTGATTGGTTTGAACATCCACTTGCCTGGATTGTATTCTGGAGTAATTCTCCCATCTGAGAGGAGCAGGGTCTGCAGAGATAGTCTAAGAGCATTCACTTCCTTTTTTTCCTCTTTCAAAGATGATTCAGTTTAAGAAAAGAACCTTACACAAAATCTCATGAGACAAAACAGAGCTAGGAATTGAGGCATTGGGCAACTCATCTACTCAGTGTCTAGACTAGAGTTTGAGTCCCATGATCTTGTTTTAGATGACAGCAGTGGTTACTCACAATTGCTTATGTAAATGATGGCTGAACTGCAGAGAACAATTGGGGAACCTGATGTTGCTTACATCAGAGAACAAACTTAGTAGCTTGATTTTTCTTGTTCTCTTTTTTCTTGTTCTTTGAGACTAGGTCTAGCTCTGTACCCCATGGAACTCATGGTGCTCCTGCCTCAGCCTCTTAATTACAGATGGGTGCCACCATGCACAGCCTGGTAACTTGATTGTACTGGTGGTAGGGAAAAAAAGGTAGATTTAAAAATCTGAATACTTTCAGGAATTGTATTATAAAGTAATAGTTTTTCTAAATTTTAAAAAATTTCCATTTTGTCAGTGAAAGCATTATGAAGCAAAACACAAGCCTAACTGCTCCACCCCAAAGAAAGAACTGGGTGAGAACCATCTGGAACCATCTGGACTGGGTGTTTACCCCCCAGTTCAGCAAACAATGTTTAGCCTTTTACTCTGCAATAGCTGGGTTACCAGCAATGAGATTGTCATCAGTTTTTTTCTGCTTTATAGAGAACTTGGTTAGTGTCTGTAGAACTGAAATATTGCCAAAACACTTTGCCAGGTATTGATAGCTTGGCACATTATAGAGGCTCAGTAATGTTTCCTGAATGAATTTTTAAATTAATTAGGAATATGCATATAATAGAAAGAATAAAGTTTTAAGTGCTGCTTTTATTTAGGGTATTTTATATTGTATTTACACTTTGATAAAAAATAGGAAGATATCATAAACAGTCCACATAGGGCCAAATAATTGTTTATCTGAAAATAGAGTTATTCAACAAACACTTACTTAATAAAAAGGCCCCTGAGAAACAAAGACATACAATAAAAAGCTGCACTTTTCATCTTTTACCTCAAAGTTTGGTGCCATGTAGAAAATCTTAGCATTTGTGCACCGTCATTGAAATTTATGATATGAGAGTCAGCCTGTTGTGGGGCACACCCCTCTACACCCAGCTCACTGGAAAGCTGAGGTGGAAGGATCACTTGTGCTATAGAGTGAGGCCTCACAGAGAAAAAATGTTATAAAACATACAAATGGTCAAAATAGAAACATTAAGAAAACAAGATATAACAGTGGAAAGTTATATCCACTGAAAACGGAGATGGCAATAAATCCTATGCTTAGGTTGAGAACCTGCATATCCTTCCAGAAGAAAAGAAAATTTTGGGTCCTTAATGATCACTTGTACAACAGCTTAACTCATCTAACAAACACTTCCTGAGACCTTACTATGTATAGACAGTGGTCCTAGTTAGGGCCTGGAGATGTCATGATAAGTAGGAGGAAATTATTGGAGTAAAGTCTTAGGGAAATATTCTAGTTGCATCCACATTAGGCTGCTGTCTGTGCTTCTCACACTTGGGAATACTTATCTAGGCATGCAGTAATTGGAAGAGCCTTCTCACACCCTGAGAGGTGCAGTAAATACTTTGCTGCATTTTTGGGCAGATACAGTCTCCTTGAAGCCAACAGCTGGAACCTCTCACACACTGTCCTATCAGGAAGCTATTGCATTCCATGCCTAGGTATCCACCCAAGAAACCTGTGCACACAGATATCCCTAGTCTGTATCACTAGGTGATTCTAACCAGATCTCACCTTCCCAAAGGGAAAACACAAGGCTACGACCTCCATGGCTGCTGGTCCCCCTGGGCTCCCCTCTTCCTTCCAGTCATCTCCCTTCTCTGGGCTTTCACCTGGCTTCCTATACTTGTTATAACACAGTACCTGATAAGATGATCACCTCTTGGGTCTATTTCCCCTTTTGTCCTCATGGGTTCTCACCCCTGTGGCTCTCAATCCCAGCTTCTCATGAAAAGTCACCTGGGAGACGTTTTCACAATATCAAACTGGGAGCCTCACCTCAGATAGAGCTGAGAACCCCTGTCCTATATATGTGACCTAACTTCCAGTTTATGACAGCATGATGTCCCTGACCCAGAAGTGGTGAACACAGTGAGGTGTCACCTTACCTCCTGGTCCAGGGTTTCAGGGCCTCCAGTTCTTATGCTGGTTTTGTGTTAACTGACCTCCTCACTCAAGGGTCCAAGGGAATACCACAAGTGCTTGAAACATTGTTATAGGGGTATCTTTTTTAAAATGCATGTTCCTGGACAGTCTGAACAAAAATTCTGGGACAGGACACAGGGATCTGGTAATAAGCTCCCACTCCTGAATAGTTCTTATACTGAAAGTTTTGAGAACATGGTGCTAAATGGATGGAAGGGTACTGCTGAACAATCTCCTTGAAAGATGCTCTGATAATACAGATGGATTGGACTTTAGTTCCAGTGTCTACAACAAGGAAGAGAAGGAGAGAGCATTTTCCCCTCCTCCCCCACATAGACCTCTTGCCCTTACCACTTAGTTACTCTGACTGAGGAGCCATGGGGAAGAGAAATCCACTGGGAACAGGAGCATTGGGAAGGGGAGTTCAAGTCAAGTCCATGGAAGAGTCTTCCCTCAGCTCTGAGCCTCCCTCCTCTGAAGATAACAAAATTAACTAAATGTTTCATTAAATTGGACATTAAAGTAACCTAAAGTGCCAGGCTGAATCAGACAGAGAGAGAAACAGGCAATTATCTGGAAAACTTGAAACAGAACCCAGACACGGAGCATTTTGTGCCTACCCCATGCTCCCACTCTTATTTGCTCTGGGATGAGGCTCGCCACACTTAGAAATTTGTAAAAACTATGGTCTTAAAGCAAAGCTCTATGGTATATCTTATGGAATTGGGAATGAGTGTCTATCCTGAGAAATTTATACTGAAAACTAAATAAACGGGGTAAAAATTTTGATTATCTGTAAGTCTGTTAATGTCAGCAGTAGTGATGGATTATAATCATCTGTACAATTGTATTTTTCTCGACTGTTGATTGACTCTCAGAGGCCTTGCTGGAAACTCTGTGAGGGTGTGGTGTCCCAGAGATCAGTAGTGGCCCTCATTCTCCCACTGCAGGTCCTAATCAACCCTTATGGCAACACCATCATCACCATGTTGCCAATGAGAAAATGAAGAGTGAGATGAGGAGGAGGAATGAATACAAGAACAGGAGAGGGTGTGGGTGAGGCACGGGGGAGGGAGGAGGAAAAGAGGCATCCAGACACATCTCCACCTTCAGAGCAAAGTTGGGATGAATCTGAATCCCTTTAAAAAAAATTAACAAGTAACCCTGGAATTTTGCCTTGCTCCACCCCATCTCCAGCTTGCTTTAAAGGGTGCTCATGCCAAATCACCTTCCCAAAGCAGCATGCAGAATGGAAAGGGCTAGCTAACATATTTTTAAGTTGCTTTCATTTAAAATGTGCAGATAATTAATTGCTTTAAAAACTTTCACCTTAGTTCTCATTTGCTATCATGGCTGTGGCCTTCAGAGATCTTCCCAGGTTTGCTCTTTGTCCTTTGGCAAAATTTTCCTTAACTTCCTGGATCAAAAGCTGAAGGAAACAATCTCCTTAGACACAGAAATCAACAAGTGACTTACCTGGTATTGAGGATGTGTTCTCATAATTCCAAATCAAGAGAAGGATTCCCGTGAGCAGCAGGAGTGGCATGGCGCCAACAGGTACAACTTCCGGCACCATGCTGGTGACATTATAGTGCATGGGGTTCAGCTTTTCCAAAACCATCTTTCAGTCTTTGGCCTTAAAGGCAGAAATTTCAAACGCTGTGAAAATCAAAGGGGCAGGGAAAGTTAGGGAATCCCCGAACGGGTTTGCCTGTGTCTCCTGTTGCTTCAGAGGATGCTGTACTGGAGAGATTGGCACTTTGTTTTATAATGTAATTGGACACATAGGCAAGACAAATCTGTGGTTAGGAGTCAAAACAAGCAAGTTCAAGAGAAGTCTGTTGGCGTGAAGTACGGCATTTCTGACCTTGGTAGAGTCTTAGGTTCTCTTCGACGTTTGGTCTGATAGAACCTTATCATCTTGCCCTTGAGTGGGTAGAGTGACGTGAGTTCAGTTCCCAATGAGAGCCAAGTCTTCTACCAAAGTACGAGAGAACAAAGCTCATTGCAGAGGCTATGATCATTTTTGGGACTCAGTTGGCAGATTTTGTTTAGGCAATCTTCTTTGCTTGAACCAAATCATTTAAAACACAAAATAAAACAGGCCAGCACCCAATCCTTTTCCTTTATCAAAATTACTTCCCTAGATAATAAGTTTCTACAACAAGAACATGTTTTTTGGATGTCACTGACGTGTTCACAATTGGGTTGTCTATGGAGCTCATAACAACTCACACAGTACAGTCTTTCTTTAGTGGCTTTAATGAGGATTTAAAGATCTCTCACTCTGGGGGCTGGGTTAAGCAGTGTCTGTAAGTATTAACATCAAAGATAGTTGGGGGGCTGGTGGAGTGACTCAAGTGGTAAGACTGCCTGCCTAGCAAGCATGAGGACCTGAGTTTGAACCCCAGTGCTGCCATTAAAAAAATGTAATAATAAAAAAAAAGATAGTTGGGGTGAAAAGAATGGGAGAGAAGGAATAAAGAGAGAAGAAAAAGCAATAGCAGGGATGAAGAAAGAGTGGACAGGCTGCCGAGGGGCCCCGGCAGAGGCTCAGATGCCACACAGCAGCCTCATCCCCAAGGGAATGAACACCCTGTGTAGTGTGGTCCCTTTTCTGCTGGATCTGCAGTCCAGTCTGTCTTCACAGTCAGACTTTATAGTACCTTCTTCTCAGAGGAGAACTTCAGGGATGGTACCCAGTAGTCAAAGAGACCCAGGTTGATAAAGGCATGCAATGAAGAAAGTCACCCTTAAGTGAATTTCCCAGTACCAGATGACATACTCCACTTTTCTAAAAAGTGCTTGGCATTCGAGGGACTTGTCATGACTCTGAAAACAGACTTTGGCCATTCTAGATGTATAAGCAGGGCTCCTAGTTGGATGTCAGGGTTCTGAGTTCCCTGAAATGCCGTGTAAAATATTGTATCTGCTCATGTGCACTTTCTAGAGGAAAGAGAGAATATAACATCTTCTTTCCTTCCTTCCTTCCTTCCTTCTCCCTCCTCCCTCCCTCCCTCCCTCCCTCCCCTCCATTCCTCCTTTCCTCCCTTCCTCTCTTCCTTCTTTTTTTCATTGATGGTACTGGGGATTGTAATCAGGGCCTCCAACTTGCTAGGCAAGTACTGGCTACTTGAGCCACACCCCCAGCCCTTTTTATTCCACCTTCCCCTTTAGTTGTTTTTCAGAGTGTTGCATTTGTTTTGTTGTTTTGTTTTGTTTTGTTTTTTGCCAGGGGCCAGTTTAGACAGAGATCCACCTACCTAAGGCTTCTTGGGTAGCTGAGATGACAGGCATGTGCCCCCACACTCAGATTTTATTGGTTGAGATGGAGGTCTTTCTTCCTAAATTGGCTTCAAACCTCAATCCTTCCAATCTTCACCTCCCAAGTAGCTGGGATTACAGGCCTGAGCCACCACGCCCAGCATTCATCATATTCTTAGGGAGTATATAATTACATTTCTCCTCTGATCAATATGAGATCTTAAATATCCAACTGAAGATAAATTCCTGGCAACTATAGGAATTTTACAGTATGGTTGAATTCATTCAGTTTCTTTATCATTTTGTTCATTTATTCTATTCCATCATTTAAATAAGCATTAGTGCTTCAGTTCAAGGCACGAAAAATGTTCATGCATACGCTAGGTGGTTTTGTTGTCACTGTTTTTTAATTCCTGTTAAGTGGAGACTCAATATTATGACCTTACCTATGATCACCTGGTTCCTTTTTTTTTTTTAACTGCTATGTGACAGGCAAGCCGCTGCACGTTGGTTTATATTAATCAAACTTGAAACCAATGTTAAAAGCATAAATATTGAACATCATTGTAACAAAAAAAATGGAGATGCCCTACAGAAGAAAAAAAACTTCACAATCAGGGAACTCTCAAGGGTATTTCACATCAATGAAAGTGCTAAGTATAATTTGGTGGAAGCTGACACAAATTTATAAAGGAGTATGAAAATTCACCAACAGAGAAAAAGATGTTCACACAATATAAAGAGTAGAAAGCAAGAAGTGTTCAAATAGATACTCTTGATAACTTCTTTTTTTTAGTCAGAGTCACACTATTTACCCAAGGTGGCCTTGAACTCAATCCTCCTACCTCTGCTTCTGAAGTGTGGGATTATAGGTATGAACCACTATGCCTGCCTTGCTAACTTAATTTTTTGCAAAGAAGAAAACTTCAAAATTTGCACTATGTTTAATGTTTTAAATTACTGAGTACTTAGATATTTGTGTTTCCCTAAATAAGTTATGATCAGAGTCTAATTTTTTGGCAGAAAAATTTAAAGGTCAGGGGACAATCATAGTTTCCCTTTTGATTTTTAAGATTGCTTTGCAATTTCAGCTTGCATGGTCATTTTTACTTTTGAATTTCATGTGAAGACTGTGTGTGTCTGAATATTTAATGGACTCAGAAGCCTTGTTCCTTGTCTTCCCCAAATGTATACCGTGAAGACCCCCTCCCAAGAGCATCATTTAAAAACACAACAGGATAATAGTTTTAACACCTGTAAAATGTTTGCTATGTGTTAGATATTGTTCCAAGCACTTTATAAATATTAAGCTGCTCATCCTTACAACAACCCTGTGAGCTAAGTGTGAATATACCCATTTTACACGTGAGGAACCTGAGGCGCAGGAAAGTTAAACAGCTTGACCAAAGGCAAGTTTGGTGTGGCTTTGGTGTGGCAAGGCTGAGATTGGAGCTTAGGAAGTCTGTCTCCAGAACAAATACTCTTTTTTATAAGTTTTTTTCCGCCTTGCAGTGCTAAGGATCAAACCCAGAGCCTTGTGCATGCTAGGCAGGCACTCTACCACTGAGCTACATCTGTAGCCCCAGAGCCTATATACTCTTGTGCCATTTTGCTGCCTGTTATGGAATTCATGTGATCCCTACATTCAGAGACTTTCCATCATTTATGTTCATTCCTACACTATTTATAATGGCTCTTTTCAAAGGATTGCACTTGGTGGACCTCTGAATGCCATGGATGGGAAAGTCTTTTGAGTGTCTTTCTCATTACACATTGGTTTTCCTGTTTGGTAGAAAATTCCAGTGGGCAACACAGGCAGATGGAGTAGGAATGTAGGAAAGGCCTAGAACTTCGTACGGGTTGTTTTATATTATAGTCCCTCTATAATATAACACCATGACTTTAATCCCCAAACACACATACACATACACGTGGCCTTCAAGTGCCATGTGCCTTCAGGGCCATCTCACATGCCTGGATCTCCACTGCCCTCTGAGGGTGATTTTTCCAGGTCCTGCTATTGTTTGCTACATGCTGATCTCCCATGCTGGGCCTGGCACAGGGTTCTGGCCACCTGAATTCTCTAGGTGCTTGTGTGTACCTTCCAGTGTCATAACTAACACCTTCACTTAACGTCCTTCCAACCTCAGAGTGAGGAAATACCAGTCCTATACCCAGAGTCCTCAGCTTGGTTCAGGGATCACAGCACAGCCTAAGTGTCCTGGTGATCTTGGGATCAGGACATGTCCTGGGCCCTACAGTGCCAGCAGATATTCCCAGGCACCTTGGTGTAGCCTCTGCAGGAAGGGAAGGTGGGCCTTGGCTTGTGGAAGTGCTTCCCAGCCTGTCAGACCCTGATACTACCTAGATTTCAGCATGGGGGTGGGCTGTCTATCAGGGAGACATTCAATCATCCTGACTCTGAGGGCTGGGTACCAAGTCTGCCTTCCTTCTTGTTATCTCCAGGATCCTCAGGTGCTCGCTCTTTTATGCTCCCTGTTCCCAGAGAAACATAACCCACACCTTGGTTGCCTCTGCTGCACCTTTTTCTTTGGAGTCCCCAACAGGGAGCTGACTCCTAGGGCTGCCACTAGAAGTAAGGACAGATGTGACTTTAGCCCCTGCAGCTGACAGGGTCTTAGAGAGGAAGGCAAAAGCCCTTATTGGTTCTTCAAGTGAGTGAGAATTTCCCTTTGGGGGCAGGAAGTCTTGTGGCTGGAGAATATTTTGTACTAGGAAGTGAAGGAGCTGCGGAGTGATACTGGGTGGCTGGAGATGGGTGAGTGAGCATGATGCTAAAAAGCAGAATGAAACATCAGTGGAGAACAGGGGGAAGGCTGGAGACCCTGGGCTTAGAAAGCGGGAGACCAAATGAGGTGCACTGGGGCTGCACGCTTATATACACTTTGATGAAGATGTTCCAATTTGGGTCTGGTGGAGTGGCTCAAGTGGTAAAAGCACTTGCCTAGCAAGTGTGAGGCCCTGAGTTCAAACCCCAGTGCACCAAAAAAAAAAAAAAAAAGTGTTGGAATTTATCTTAAGAGAAATGAGGACAAAGGCCGTAAGCAGAAGGTCAAAAAGATCATACTTGCATTTTGAGATTTTAAAACACTCTGGCTACAGTGCCCAGAATACAATGGAAAAAAGACCATAGAGGAAAAAAGACCAGCTTGGAGCCTTCCATACTTTAATAGACAGAAGATGGTCTTAGGAGATGAGTGGAGGGGAAGGGAGATGAGTGGGGGGACAAGTGGACAGGTCAAGAGACATATGAAGTGATGTGACTGGGTTCTGATTTTTCCAGAAAAAAAGAAACTCACCTTGGAGGTATGGCAGTGCCATTCTATGAGCTAGGAC